GTATTTTAGTTTAAAAAAAAAAAAACCATAGTATGACATGAAAAACATATTGCAATAGTTTGGATACCAGTTTTCTATAGAAAATTTGGGATGAGGTATAACTTAGCAGTAGAGAGCCCATGCCTATCATGAGCTAGGTCCCTGTATTCTATAACCAACTACTGAAAAATAAATTGCCACTTTTCTCATTTTTCTCCCCTTTAGGTTAAAAAAAATTTTATTGAATTTTTTTTGAGTTTCATGCAATATATTTTGATCATATTTAGACCCCCTCCCTTATCTGCACTACTGTACTCCTCCTATATATCCACCCCAGTTTCCACGTACTCTCAGATATATTAAGGCCTGTCACGTTTGTGTCCCCAAATATCCTTTACCTTCACTGGAGCCTGGTTAACCTACCTACCATCACACACTTAAAGAAAACCACCTCTCCCTCCCTCTCCCAGTAGTTATCGGTTGCCTAAATTTTTTTTTTCCCCCAAAAAGCTATTTTTGTTAACATGTTGTTTTTATTTTTTTAGAAAAGTGAAGATTTAGAACAAGTAATTAAAATGACAAACATCAACAGATGTTACCCTTGTAAACAAAAGCTAGTCCTTAATTTGTGAGGGCATGGACAGATTTGAAAAGTTGGGAAACTGTCCTGGGGATGGTAAAGCCACTTAAACTATCATATTCCCTACAGGCCTTAAGGCAAAACTGATTACTTCTCTCTCTGATCTTAATGCTAAAATCTATTTTCCTTTTTTTTTTAAACAGACCCTGTGCCCCAGCTGGCCTGGAACGCACAGAGATCTGCCTGCCTCTACTTCCTGAGTGCTGAGATCAAAGGCATGTGTCATCATGCCCTGCCTTAAAAATCTGTTATCGTACAGCTACACAGTCAGAGAAACAAAATATGGTTAAAAATTATTTCTTGCTAATATCTGACTTAAAGGCTGTTTTTTTTTTTTTTAATTTAGGCAATACTTATTGTGGTCACTGTGGCCTTTGTTCAGGTGAGTAATCTATTTTGCCAATATAATAATAGGTTAGTTACTTAAAACTTACTTAAAAAATAATAGTTGCTTACTTAAAAACAAAGTGGTTTGTGTAAAAAAAAATCTATATTAGTGGGTTGTAGTGTTTATCCTAATAATTTGTTGTTTTTTAAATAATTTCAAATAGCCAAATGTGAGGAAGTAAGGCACTGCTTTGATATAGTGAGATGAACATTATCTACATTGTAATTTTGTGGTCTTAAGAATAATTGAAGCAAATGGAAGCAAAAAAGCACAGTACTATTGCAATGTAGCAGTAAATTTAAAAAATTTTCTCAATTACAGAATTGGACCAAAGTTTCTAGTTGTTTTGTTTGTTTGGTTTTTTGTTTTTTAGACAGAGTCTCCCTGTAGCCCCAGCTCGCCTGAAACTGGCTATGTAGATTAGGCTGATCTCTATCTCACTGAGATCCTCTTGCCTCTGCTTCCCAGGTGCTGGGATTAAAGGTGTGTGCCATGATGCCTGACCCCAAAAGGGTTTATAGTTTTATGATATTTTTATGTATTAATGCCTACAAAGGTTAACTCTAGATGAACAAAGCAAAAAATGAGTGTAGCATTGGTCAGTTTATGAAGTAGGCCCACTGAAGGAAAGGCAACAGATTCCTATGACTGATTCCTTTAGCAAAACGGTATACTTTTTCACTGAATTTACTTCCTAACTATATTTCATTAGTCTTTTTTGATAATTAAAACTATTTCATCATTGTTGGTAGTCCCTTAATCTACCCTTTAAAATTCCTTACTTTTTCCATGGAAGGGGTGATCAAACTTCCTGTTCAATATAGCCATTCAAACAGCAAAAGAAACACAATATGAAGCCTGCTTTAAAGATTATTTTGAATAATATGTAGATAATATCATGATTTCTTTCTTTCCTAGCACTCAGGAGGTAGATGCAAGAGGGTTGTCATTCAAGGCCAACCTGGGCTACATAGTGAGACCCTATTTAGTAGAAAAGGAAGAAGGGAACAAAGGAAAGAGGGAGGGGAGGGATCAAAACATGCCTGGCATGGTGTCAGAATAAACAAACACAGTTTTATGTTTATAAGCTTATTTTAGGTTAAGTATTTGAAACTTCTGTACATTTTAGAACTGTGCTTTAGAATATTGTCAGGTTTTGTTTTTAGTATGTTTCCTAACAGTAGAAGGGTTAATCTAGTATAGGGAGAAATACTGTTTTATATCCTGAGATTTATGCTTTGATTATTAAGACCTAATGGTTGTAATTATTCTTACCTGTATGATGTATTTCCTGGTTGCTTTTTGTCACTGTTCTGGTATCTTAATTTCTAAGTTACTAGTTTTAGAACAGCTTAATGTGGAAAGACACCTAGAAATCATATTATTTGGAAGCTTATGAGCTGCTTTAGTAGAGCATCAGTGTTCTTATTTGGCGTTCAAGGGTCTGGTTGGAGATCTTAGAACAGAACAGGTGAATGTTGCCCTCCGGCTGTTGGAGCTGGTTAATGCAGCGTAAGTCATTCCAGCTCAGTGAGTGGTGTGACCCAGAAGACCAGTAACTGGACCTCTCAATTGTGATGATCCTCCCTTGCATCTTTAGTAATATATCAAATATATAAAAAATTCCTATCATCACTGTAGCTTTGGTAAATGAGCTTCTGTCTTCAAAATCCCTCATGTGGTTTCAGTCGTAATATAAGTCAGTGTGGAATTTTACATGGACTGTGTTAGGTATTTTAAATATAGTAGCTGAGGTCTATGGCTAAATAGCTCCATGGTAGTGTCATTTGATAAAGTATTAGTTATCAAATATCAAATAAAAAGAAACTTCAGGGAGGAAGAATTTATTTTGTCTTATAGTTTGATTGACTTACCTTCCATTATAGTGGGTAAGGTGTGAGGGCAGGAGCTTGAGATTGCTAGTTGCATTACTTCTGCAGCCAGGAAGCAGAGAACTTGCAGGAAGTATGTTAGGCTATAAAACTTCAAGGCCAGCCCTAATGACCCCACTAAAGGTTCCACAACCTTCCAAAGCAGCACTGCCATCTGGGACCAAGTGTTCAAACACAGGAGCCTATGGCGGACATTTCACACTCAAACCACAGCAAATGAGAAGTAAAAAAGCCTCAAAGCTTTATGAAAAACCTGTTTTTAATTAACAGGTCTATTTTTTTTAAATACAGTTGTAAATCCTTTCCTCGAAGATGTGTCTGAAACCAAAGAAATATTTTATAAACAGAAATTTGAATACATTCCTCAAACCATTTTACCTCTGCCTAGCCATGCAATTGTTTTGTATTATCATGTAATGATACCCTGTACAACATTGAAAAAATGGGTAAAATTGGGAGTATTTAATTTTCCGAATTGTTTGTTTAATTTAGGGACAAGGTTTTGTGGGTTAGAATATAAATATAAATAAAGCAGAAGATAAGAATTGGGAAAAAATTTCAATAATAATTGAGATTAATATTTAAGACTAAAAGGAATGTGTTCATTAGATCATATGTATTTGGATTTCTTTATAAATGTTTTTGTTAATATTAAGTTCTGCTTTTTCTTTAAATAGGAATATCGTTCAGAAAAATCTCTTGAAGAATTGAGTAAACTTGTGCCACCAGAATGCCATTGGTATGCCCCTTTTATTTGAGTTTTCTACCTCAAATAGAAGTTGAATGTGACCAGTACAGTAATCATTGTTGCCCCAGCTTTGTTTTAACATAAGGAAGAGGCTTTTAATTTGATAAGAAAAATCTCTTGATTATTGTAGCAAATATTAAGCTCTTAAAACTTAGACGTTTTACTATTGGTATTTTGTAGATAGTTTTATTTAACAGGGTTTTGTTTTTTTTTTTTAAATCATGCACGTGCGTGCGTGTGTGTGATGTGTTCATGTTTATATGTGTGAGTGCAGGTATGCACGTGCCATGACATACATGGTGAAGGCTAGAAGATCACCTTCCACCTTGTTTGAGGCATGATGTGTGATGTGTGCATGTTTATATGTGTGAGTGCAGGTCTGCACGTGCCATGACATAAAGTGGTGAAGGCCTGAAGATCACCTTCCGCCTTCTTTGAGGCATGATCTCTTGCTCACCACAGTGTGTGCCAGGTCATTTGGCACTTAAGTTTCTGGGGATTCTCCTGTTTCTGACTCCCCCCTTCCTGTAGGAGGGCAGGGACTGCAATTGATTGCATTTCTGCATCCAGGTTGGGAAGCCAGGTTCAGTAGCCATGCTTGCACTGTAAGTGCTTTACCTGCAGGTACTTTTTGTGTGCATGAGTGAGTATATGCTTGTTGTGGAAAGTCTTGTAACTGAGAGATATTATGGAAAGTCTTAAAACTGATTTTACCTTTTGCCTTACATGACTGTCATGCTGAAATGCAGTGCTTCCTGTTTCTTGTCAGAAGGAAACTCATGTAGGTCACGTGGTTTCCAGGAATCCGAAACTTAAAGAAACTGAAACTTATCATGCTAGTAGGGCATCTGGCCCACTAGATTGTAATAGGATACTAGTCTGCTATGCTAATAAGGAATCCCATATGCCGTGTTATGATTGGACCATTACCTCTATATAAGCCTGTACTTTCCCGCAATAAAGTAGATCTGTGTCACTGAACCTGGTCTCCTGTGTCTGAATGTGGTTATGCTGATGCAGACTCCTCACCAGCCCTGGGGTCCGGGACCGGATGACTGATTGGAGGAACAGAGAAGGCGAGAGAGTGACCACAGCCTCTCCCCCTATTTTTTCATTTTTTTGAAAGAGGGGTACAAAATACAGCATAACAGAATGGCTCAGAAGGTAAGGGAATTATCCCTCATTGTGGGCCTCCTCCTCTAAGATGGTGAGTCTCTTTAACGGCCATCTGGCCAATTCTGTGCCGATCAGTGGGAGTTGAGATTCTTTGCATCGGCATTGTTGTCCCCACCTCAAGGGTCACCCAGCGTTATGGACTGTGCCTGTCTTAGGTTGTCCCGGCATTTGGGATCTTACCCGTTGTTGACTACCAGCCCTCGAAGGGTGAGTCCCCTGGTGTGGTTCGGTAAAGGTGTGAGCATCGAGAGGATAAACGTGAGGAGGCCATTTAAGAGTTTGTGAGCCAGATTGTTTTCCGATTCTTGAAAGTTGAATTATAAGTTGGTGAGGGCAAGGAATAGTGGGTCATCGTTTGTAGGGTCGTATTTGACCTCTGAATTGGCAAAATCTGAGGAGATAGGATGTCGAGGCGGGGTGACAGCTAACTGAATTAGAGAAATGCGGGTTTTGACAAAGTTAGGGAAACCCTTGACAACACAGAGCCCAAAAATCAGGAGAAGGGTTAGCAAAACAAGGGGACCAGCTAAGGCAGACAGGAGTGTGGTAAGCCAAGGGGAGATGGAAAACATAGACTCATGCCACCCTTGAGATTGATGTCTCTGTTTCTCTCGTTCAAAGAGTCTTTTTCTGACTCTATTAAGTGATTTTTCTACAACTCCAGAATTATTAGCATAGAAGCAACATTGTTCTCCCAGGGCTACACATAATCCCCCTTGTTGGAGGACTATGAGATCAAGGCCTCTCCTGTTTTGTAGGACCATCTCAGCCAATGAAGACAGGGATTGCTGTAAATGGGAGATGGAATTTTCTAAGTCTGCGATGTCTGCATCTATGGCTCGGCTAAGAGCTTAGTAATTTTTATCTTGAATAACAAGTGCAGAGGCGCTCATTCCAAATGCACTGGCCATGCCCAAACTGAGAAGGACCATGGTGATAGTGATAACTTCCCTCTTGTGTCAGGTGAAGGAAGGCAGGGAAGCAGAGGGAGAGAGCCTGAGATCCATCTCCTCACCTGAAAGATAAGTAATCTTAGGAATTAGTTGTACCAGGACACAAAACCCTTTGGTCTGGTTAAGGGTTAGGGCATGGATACATGGGGTCAGTCCAGAGAAGCAGGCTCACCAAGAGGTATTGGGTAATACAAGATAGACATCAGTGGGTAGGATAGTCTCAGTGACATTGCAAAGTGGTGCATAAGGGGAAGGTATATTGGTCCCAGGGGAAACTACACAAAGTCCAGACCCCTGAACAAATGGTAAAGTTAATTTTGGTCCATTACTGTCCCATCAGCCTTCATTTACGAAGGTAGCATTAGTAAAATTGTCCCGGAGAGCTACGCCATTGTAAAATGGGGGCCTAGAGTTTAAGCATAGCGAGCAGTCAATGGTATAGTTGGGTTTGGAGGCATTGAGTGCATAAAGACAGCTCTAACCAGGCCCAATTGCCCTGGTGCCAGGGCCCTTATTGTCGTATCTCAGGTTTGAATGTTACCCGGGGCTTGTAGTAATGGGCATGTTGGTGGAGTTAAGAGCAGGAACTGGCAAAGGAACATGAAGGACCTGGTTGGGTCCTATAGACTTGGGAGGGTCGATAGTGTATGAGGTAGTAAGCTGGATCCTGAACAAGAGTCCAGCATCCCAGTATGACATATATGATCTCATGTCCCAGGTTTTCCCAGAGTCCCAGCCCATAGCTCTTTTTCCCCGTTCTGTGAAGGAAATATTAAGAAGGGGGACATCTTCTGTTAGTGAGACCTGACAAGCCCCAATTGGAGCAGGTTCGTGATGCTCTTTTTAGGGTGATGTAGTCATTCTTTGAGGGAGGGCTCCAATAGGTGTCTCTGGTAGACACACAGGACCAGTCTGCACAAAAAAATTCTGAAGGGCGCCCACATTTATTATTTTGATAATCGGATCTATCATTACCTGGGCAAACATAAAGAGAGGTGTCACAGGCAAGGTCTTCCTTCCAGGTCATTTCCCCCCAATCCCTGTATAGTGAGCATAGGCTTACTTGAAGAACAGGGAACCAGGTATTGAGGGGTGTGACCTTAGGTGTGGAGTTGACTGTCTTTCCATTGACTACATTGATAATCTGCTAGTTAAGGTTGACGGGTTGGTGGGGGTTATCGGGAGTTGTGAGCACTCGAGAATCAGTAGTGATCATGGCACAAATAATAAGGAACACAGACAAAAGTTTTCCTCTGGATTGAGGACTCAGCTAATGTCTCTGTTTGCAGAGAGGGATGTTCGAGGTTTCCCCAGGTTGGTGGCTTTTGTGGCCTGAGACATTGGATCGGTCTCTTGGTGGTCATTTTCTCCAGGGCTGTTATCTCCGGGGTTGATGGTTGTGGGGGGGCATCGTTCCATCACAAGCAATTCTGATGTTCCGGGCTGGGATCCAAATAGAGGCTGGAACGTTATCTGGAAAGACAGAAGCATAGCCTCGCCTGTGTGTTAGCAATAAATGGGGCCCACTCCATTTGCCTGTGAGAGGGTCCTTCCATCTTATCATGGGGGCAGGCGTAGGCTGATTGAATGCCCGCCAATGCTCTATTGCTGGTGGGAGACCATGGGAATAAAATTTAAGAAAATTTAGGACAAATAATGCTTGTTGTATAATGAAATTAGGATCCTTATAGCAAGGACCCTTATCATTTCCCCTCATTTTTTGTATTTGTTTAATAAGTGTTTGGTGGAAACATTCAATAATTCCCTGACCCTGAGGATTGTATGGAATGCCAGTTACATGTCTTATATTCCAGTCAGAGGAGAAATGGCCAAAGGTAGAAGAAACATAACAAGGGCCATTATCTGTTTTTATTTGCCAAGGGACTCCCATAAGAACCATTGCATATTTTACCGCTTTTATGGCATGATAGGCCATCTCACCATAACATGCTAATGCAAAATGAGCACTAGAGTAGGTTTCAATAATATGATGGATATACTTAAGCTTGCCAAAGGGAGGAAAGTGAGTGACATCCATTTGCCATATTTTGTTGGGGCCAAGGCCTCTAGGGAGGGTTCTGGTGGGTTGTAATCGTCCCGGAGGTAGAAGAGGGGCACGGGAGGAGCAGGCACGGACCAAATGTTTGCAACTCTGAATTGGCAGAATGGGTAGAAGCCTGTGTATAGCCTGGGGACAAAGATGAAAACGAGCATGCAAGTCTCTGGCCTGTTGAATTACGGTGAAGTCTAGGGTGGCACTCAGGACCAGTTTGTCAATAGCGGCATTACCCTCTGCCAGAAGCCCCGGGAGATTGGTATGAGAGCGTAAATGTTGAACATACCAGGGGGCAGATCGTTGCTCAAGTAACAATTGTAATGAGGAGAGCAACATATCAAGGGGACTCTGGCGAGGCCAGAAGGCTGCAAAGGCCAGGTGTCATAGAGTCTGGACTACATAAGCACTGTCAGGAAGATGATTATAGGGAATTGTAGGGAAATCCTGAAAGACCTGTAACATGGCTGAGAGTTCTCCGAGCTGCACACATCCCTGAAAAGGGAAAACCTTATGTGAGGAGAGTTGTCCTTGGTAAATTACATAGCCAAATTTATGCTTACTGGAATCAGTAAAGATTAGAGGAGCCTTAGGAAGAAGGTTATGTTTTGGAAGTGCCTGAGGAAAAAGGGACAGGGGAAGTTGTCTTATTCCTTGAAGGAGTTTATGTTTAGGATAATGATTAATGATCGTCATACTTTCCTTGATAGACTAGTAGGAGAGTTTGGAAGCCAGGGTTATCAAGGAACAATGACTGGAGCATGGGAAGTGGAAGGGGGAGAATCAATGATTCTGGGTCACGGCCATACAGAAGGTGGGAGGTGTGGACAAGTTTAAGGGCTAGGATAGCCCATGCTTCAATGGCCGGGGTAACCTTATGAACTTGACTCCATGAAGAGTGGACCCATATCAGGGGGCCTTGGGCCTGCCAGAGCGCTCCTAAAGGGATGTTTTTAGGAAGGATGACCAGAGCTTGGATGGGCAACCTTGGCTGTATTCTATTTATAAATGCCTGGGATAGGTGTGAATTGATGGTTGTAACAACACGCTGTGCTTCCAGGGTGACCTTGCGGGGAATGGAGATCATATCATTACCCTGCAAGAGGTCAAAGAGTGGTGTAAGCTCTTCCGTGGACATGGGTAAGAAGCCCTGTATCCAATTTATGTTGCCACAGACGGTCTGTGCCTCTGAAAGGGTAATCTCATTCGGCAAATTAAGCATGGGAGCTATAGGGTGAATGACATCTTGAATGGAGTGGCCCAGAAAGGTATAAGGGGTATGCAACTGAAATTTGTCTGCCACAATGGTGAGGTTGGTTTTGTGTTTTTGAAAAGCTCCTTGCAAGATCTTAGGATCCTTATGGGCAATAAGAATATCATCCATACAATGTAAAATATAAACCTCAGTCAGCAAAGGTCTACAGGCATGGGCCACATAATATTGGCAGATAGTAGGGCTCTTTTTCATATGCCCTGAGGCAGAACCTTCCATTGGTAGCGCTGAGCTGGAAGGTTATGGCTAGTGGCAGGCACAGAGAAGGCAAAATAGGGCTTATCATCATCATGAAGGGGAATAGAAAAGAAACAGTTCTTAATATCTGTTATAATAATTGCTCATTCTTTGGGAATAGCAGTAGGGTGAGGCAGTCCTGGTTGAAGGGTCCCTAAAGGCTTCATATGCTCATTAATAGCCCTCAAATCATGTAAAAGTCTCCATTTTCCTGATTTCTTTTGTATTAAAAAAAATAGGAGAATTATGAGGACTAAGGGAGGGCTCGATATGGCCCAAAGATAATTGCTCCTGAACTAAAGAAGTCAAGTGAGTTAATTTATGTGAACGAAGAGGCCACTGCTCGACCCATATGGGGCCTTTTGTGTCCCATGGGGAGCGGCTTGGGCAGCGGAGCAGTGGCCGTTAGAATTGGGGGTGAGGATGGGGGGCATTACCCAACTGTTGGTCTACAATCTGTAGTTAAAACATCTTCCATGTCACGAAAGACATCTCTCCCCCACAAATTATGAGGAAGTCCCATGGCTAAGAGTGGTCTAACGGCTCCTGTATTGCTGCTCAGATCAGTCCAGATTACTGGACATTGGACTTATTGGGTGTTCTGTAAACCCCCAACTCCTTGTATAGGGGGTCCAGGTGTACAGTGCCAATGAGATAATGCTTCCTCTTGTCTGATTACAGTAATATCAGCCCCTGTATCAATTAGGCCTTTAAATTTATGACCATCTAAGGAGAGTTGCATCCTAGGCTTATGTAGATCAATAGGTATTGTCCATTGGAAGTGGGGGGTGTATTCCCTTACTTCCTCTCTTTGGGGCGGGGCTGAGAGGTGCCCCATTGCCCATTTAAAGGCACCTTTTGTATGGGATTACCATCCACATCCATCTTGGACTTGCATTCCCTCGCCCAATGAAAGCCCTTGCGGCACCTTGGGCATTTAAAAGGGGGAACTGACTCCTATTAGCCTCTTTCATGATCTTATTCGGGCATGTGCATGACCAATGGCCCTGTTCCCTACAGGCCCAACGTTTACCCTTGTCCGTCATGGCTTGCAGCTGATGAGCAGCCAGTGCCTCAGCAAGGGCCGTAGCATGGGCCCGAACAGTCCCTACATCTCGACAGGCCAGAATCCATTCAGAAACATCCTTGCATCTAACAGGTCCTATGGCAAGGCAGCATTCTGTAGAGCGGCCCTCATATACGAGATCCTTGAGCAAAGCATCAGCAGCCCCCCGATGACTGATTTTTCTCTTTATACTTTGTTGGCATCTTTCAACAAAATCAGAGAAAGGCTCGCCTGGTTTTTGTATTAAGTTGGTTAATTTTGTATCATCACGAGTCGGCATACTTCGAAAAGCGTGAAGCGTGCAAAGCTGTACTTGTTCAAAGTAGCAAGGAGGTCCTTGTGCCTGAGCTTGTGGGGTTTCAAAATTGCCACATCCTACCAGTGCATCAAATCCAATGTTTTGGACGTTGGCATTTCTATTGGTTCTGCCTGTTGTTCACATTCATCTTGGTAAGCAGCTTTCCATAAAAGGAAATCGCCTCCCTGTAAACAGGCACGGGCAATATTTTGCCAATCATAGGGAGTATTGGCTGCGTGGCTTATTGTATCTAATAACTGACCAAACCAGGGGGATTGAATGCTATCCTCAACTGCTGCCTTTCGCAGCTTTCTTAAGGTATCATGAGGATATGGATTCCAAAAATTGGGGTTTTGTTGTCCCTGATTAATGGTAACTGGGAAGAACTGTGGAATATCCCCCATTGTATCATAAGAGAGGGGCTTGGGGCTTCCAATCCTCTGGGAGGGAGGGGTAGATGGGCTCGGGGGAAGCCTCCTTGAAACCAGTGTAAGATGGCGGAGGGTAGCCATCGCCCTGTAATGGTGGAGCAGAGGCTGTCTTAACTTCCTGTTTTTTACCCAGGGAGCTCTCAAACCCGGATTCCTCATTCTTTATATCATCATTAGCAGTCATTGTTCTATCAGAACAAGAGTCAGTCAGTTTCATCTTAACTGGAAACACCTGGGACAGGCTATCCCCAGAATCCTGTTGCGGTATTTGTTCTTCTATCTTCTTTAATAGGAGATTGTCCTGTTCAGGGGCTTTAGGGGGAACCCCCCGAAGCGAAGCCAGAATGGCTGTCACAGTGGGGTAGAATGGCCCAGACTGTGGGCGTCCCTCCCTGACTTCCTTGCGCTGGGCCAAGAATAGAACTCGGGCCCATTGATCGAGATCCCAGCAGCAAGAGTCCGTAAACCAGGGACCAAGAACTAGAATTTCATCTAAAACCTTAGCTACATCCTTTTCTGTCACCCTAATACACCTACTCCTGAGGAGAGGAACCAGCGCAGCAGCACGAGGGCTGGCAGCAGCTGGATGGCTATTCCCCATACCGGAGGTCACTCACCCTCCAAGATGTACCGAAAGGGACTCAGGAATCATTCAAAAAGACGATTGGCGAAGACAGGAGCGGCATGGCAAACCGAAGACCGCGAGCCAGAAGAAAAAGCAGAACAAAATGAAAGCAGTGAGCAACTATGGGAGAATCACTGGCAAAGGGGGCATTGGAGCCCTGAGTGTTACAGCTCAGTGTTACAGCTCTGTGCGGCAGGAGTTTTTGGGCCCCACGTTGGGCGCCAACTGTTGTCACTCTCTTCCTCCAATCAGTCATCTGGTCCAGGACCCCAGGGCTGGTGAGGAGTCTGCGTCAGCGTAGCCGCATTCAGACATAGGAGACCAGATTCAGTGACACAGATCTACTTTATTGGAGGAAAGTACAGGCTTTTATAGAGGTAATGGTCCAATCATAACATGGCATATGGGATTCCTTATTAGCATAGCAGACTAGTATCCTATTATAATCTAGTGGGCCAGATGTCCTACTAGCATGATTAAGTTTCAGTTTCTTTAAGTTTCGGATTCCTAGAAACCACGTGACCTACATGAGTTTCCTTCTGACAAGAAACAGGAAGCACTGCATTTCAGCATGACAATCATGTAAGGCAAAGGGTAAAGTTAGTTGTAAGACTTTCCATAACATCTCTCAATTACAAGACTTTCCACATATGCTGAGTACTGTTCTGAGTAAATGACGTAAACAGTTCAGTGAAGCGCATCTCAGAGCCTGCTTCCATTTTTCTCATTTTGCATTTGAATAGCTAATCAGTTTTTCCAGTGATCTATCTGTCATCTTAACATTTTAATAAGAGCACACAGTTAATCATACTTTTTTTTTTTTTTTTTTTTTGTGCTTTAGTTTTTTTTGGGGGGGGGACTGGGTCTCAGGATGTTGCCCTGGCTGGCCTAGAACCTGCTATGTAGACCAGGCTGGTTTTGAACTTGTAGAAATCTACCTGCTTCCCAAGTGCTGAGATTAAAGGCATACATTATGATGCCTGGCCTTCTCTGGTTTTTTTAAAGAGTTTAAAAAATATTTTAAATTATGTGTATGTGTGTAGGTATGTACATGTGAGTTCAGGTGCCAGAGGCATCACATCTTCTGGAGCTGGACTTAGAGGGATTGTGAGCCACCTGATGTGGTTGCTGAGAATCAAATTTAGGTTCTCTAGAAGAGCAGTGTGCACTCTTAATCACTGAGTCATTGCTCCAGTCCTGTACTCTTAGTTCTTATGTTTGATTTACCTTTGGAAGTGATAGTATTCTTTCTCAGGCAGGCTCATTGGAGGTTTTTTTTTTTTTTTTTTTAAATTTTCTTTTTAGATAGTAGTATGCTTTTCTTGACGTGATTTCTGTTTTCATGTTATAGTATACGTGAAGGAAAATTAGAGCATGTACTTGCCCGAGACTTGGTTCCCGGTGACACAGTTTGCCTTTCTGTGGGTGACAGAGTTCCTGCTGACTTACGCTTGTTTGAGGTAAGTTTGAGGATCTGATTGTGAGAAGTCAAAATGCTTGGATATTGATCAAAGTACTAGCAGTTCTACTGGTACTTTGAGTTTCTACCTCAAAGCAGATTATTTGAAATATTTGGTGTTCTGGCTTAAATAGGGACGTGTAAACATTTTTTCCCCCTTTGAAATATCTGTTTCTGCTATAAAGTCCTATGAGAATATCTACTTAATGAACCAGACTATTTTTATGGAAAGCTGTATGTTAGGTATTGTAGGAGACAGAAAAAGATGATAGAATTAGGAATCTAGCATATATGAGCACAAATCATTCTAAAATAAGATAAAACTCAGTAATCGAGTAATCAAAGTTCAAAGAATATAAGATGTAGAAACCTGGAGAGAAAAGAGGTTATTTCTGAAGTTGAGATCCTAGAAGCCTTAGCCAACATGGCAATGATAATTGAAAAGTAGTGTGGGACAGGAATGGGGCAGGAACTGGAGTGCTCCAGTAGAGGGGCTCCCTGCTGTAGGACAGGGTTATGTTTCAGCACACCCACTGTGAGTTTAAGATACATACCTAAGCCTAAGTGTATGATGGTACTACTAATCATGGCACAGTACACTGTAGTGATTGTTCACTTTCCAGATTTTGGGTCTGCCTGGGAGCTCTGGCTTACGACACTGCCCAACATCGATGACAAGAGATTTATCAGATTACATATTGCTAGTTGAAAAAAGATCAAAATTTAAAAACTAAAGAATGGTTCCTGCTGAATGTGTATTATTTTATTTTCTCAGTGAGACACACAGTTGCTCTACAACAATGCCTCCCTCTTGCTAAGTTGCATAGGAGTCATCTGTATTCTTTCATGGTAGGTTTGAGATTAAGATCCAAATTCTGCATATTTAACCAGTTAGTGCCAAAACTTCTGATCCATTTACCCCGTTAAATTTTTTAAAAATTTGCGGCTGGAGAGATGACTCAGCGGTTACGAGCATGGGCTGCTCTTGCAGAGGACTTGGGTTTGCTTCCCAGCACTCACATGGGGGCTAGCTAACAACCATCTATAACTCCAGTTCCAGGGGATCCTTCTGGCAGGTATTGCATGACGTGGTTGCACTAACATATATGAAGGCACAGCATGTATACACATTAAATAAAAATAAATTATAAAAACTTTAAATTTACGTTCTGTAAGTTTGAAACACGTTTAAAAAAATAATTTACTTTTTATTTTATGTGTATGAATATACTGCCTGCATGTATGTCAGTGCACCTGTGTCATGCAGTGATTGTAGCGGTCAAAAAAGGGTGTCAGATTCCCCTGGAACTGGAGTTACAGATGGTTGTTAGCTGCCATGTGGATGCTGGAACCAAACCCAGTCCTCCACAAGTATAGCCAATGCTCTTAAACGGAGCCATCTTTACAGTCCCAAAGCAGTTTTTTAACGTATATCCCAGGCCTGCCTCCACCTTCAGCAGTGTTTCAGACTTGTTTCAGTGTGCTTGGCTTAAGTATTTTCAAATATTTATTTAAGTATATTTTTAAAGAAAATAGATATAATTAATATATCATAAAATATACTCAGTGTAACATTTGGTGGTTTTCTGTACATTCATAGCTATGCATACGTTATCATCGTCTAATTATGAACCAATTTCAAGAAATTTTCAAAGAAACTCATCTTCCAGCATTCACTCTGTGTTCTTACCTCTGATAGCAACTAATTTTCTTGACACTAAAGAACATTTATGTTTTTAGATATTTCATTTACATAGAATCATATAATACATAGCTTTTTGTATCTGTCTTTTTAACTTAACCTGTTTTCTGGTAACTTCATCTGGCACTTCATTCCTTTTTATTGCCAGACAGTTTTCTGTTTTATGGATGTACATGTAACTTATATTTAATCTACTTATATTTGAAATGTTGCTGATATTGTTGAGTTAATTTTTAGTTATTAGATGTTTTCAGAAATCTTTCGCTGTTGCCAAATATTTTGTTACCTCTTCCATTCAATTAATGTGACCTCTTGGGATCTACATAGTGATTTCCAGGTGGGCTGGGACTGGGGAGACCCTGTCATAAAACTGAAAAAAGGAATTTGCTCCCCCTCCCAGGCATTTCTTTATAATAGTTCCCACTGTGGATTTATTGAGTGTAATGATTATTTAGATTTGTGTCTTTTACCAAATTTGGGAAGTTTTCAGCCATTACGCCTTCAGATATTCTTTCAGCCCTCGCCTCACATTCTGACTTTGGAACTGTGTTGTACCTGACATTTTCATCAAGGTGCCCGTGGAAGAATGAAAGTAGCAATAAATTTCTCTATTCATATACAGCTCTTCCAGTAACTTTTCTTTGTTTTTATTGGCTTTTTGTTTTTTTTTTAATTTTTTTTTGTTTGAGATTGAGTTTCCCTTTGTAGCCCATGATGGCCTTGAACTCACTGATCCTTATACCTCTGCCTCCTGAGTGCTAAGATTACATGCGTGTAGAGCATGAGACTAGTTTGTTGTGTTTTCATTTAATCATGCCCTTCTCTCAGATAATTTAATATCTTCTCAGATAAATTATGGCTTTGTTAAACTCTAACAGGCTTGTATAATTTACTAAATACCTTGTGAAAACATTTATAATTACCATAAAGAGCTTGTAATTGAAGAAAATATTATTGTTCAAGAAATTAAGGAGATTTTTAGAATGTGGGACAGTGTATGATTTAGAAAGCTTTCATGATTTATATATTCTTGATGATTTGCATTTTAGTTAGGAATTTACAATTACACACACACACACACACACACACACACACACATACACATACACATATTTGTTGTTGTTTTTTGATAGGGTCTCTTGCGTCCCAGCCTGGCTAAAAGTCACTATGTGGATCAGGCTGCCTTGCATAGAGATCTGCCTGCCTCTGCCTCCCAAAGGCTGGTATTGAAAGTGTATAGCACCATGCCCGGAGTTACAATTATATATTTTTAAAAATGCTCCCAGATCCTTTATTTTCTTTTTCTGTCATGTTTGTTTTTTTTATGCTAGGAAAGGCTTATTGTTTTTTTGCTAAATATGATCTGCCTTTTTCTTTAGAAAACCATGATTTACATGAAAATTCTCTTTAAATTGCTGCTCTGCTGAGGCTGAAAATGGAAGGGCTAAATCACGAATAGGACCAGTGGCCACGTGTTTTTTATTCTTTTTTTAAACAGTCAGGTTGTTTTTATGTTCTTTCTCCATATAGACATTAACCATATGTTAATATTTATTCATGCCTAAAATTTACAATATTTAAAAAGTCTCTAAAGAGAAATAGACATTTTACTTCTTTTAGAGAAAGAATTCCTTAGACTATTGTATCAATGCTTGCTTTAAAAATATTAGTGGATCTCTTATAATTAAAATATCAGAAAATTACATGTATTTCTTACTATTGTAATAAGCATCAAAGAGGCTCCTAAATAAAATGGACCTTATATATATTGACATTTTATAATTCAAAAAAAAACATTTTTAAACGTATTTTTGTTTAATGTGTTCTACCTTGTTTTTTATTGTAAGTAATTAAAAAACTGGATAGGGGGTAATTTCCAAATTGATCCTCTAAATAATTAAGAGGAATCTATCAGCCCTGGAATTTAATCTCAATAAGCTTTCTGCCTTTGGATGTTCTGTGGGTTCTTTGATCATTGGGAGTATCTATAAAATAGCATAATAATAGCACTTACCTTTCAGGAGTTGTTAGTAGACCTAAGTCTGATAATTTATTGCAGGTATGTATGTAACAGAGTTCTTGGTTCATAAGAAGTTAGGAAATGGTGATAGGTTTTAGTATTAGTATCTTTGAGGAAAAGACCTATCTTAAGTCTTGTTATTTACTTTTGGTTTTGGTTTTGTTAGTGTGAATGGCCGCTCAGTTCTCAGGCTAATTTAGGAAGAAAAGTAAAACACATATTTCCTCCTTTTTAAAATTTTTAATAACTACATGATTGGAAGAAGCATTTCAGATTTAACATATTCAGTAACACACGCCAGAGCAAGAGTACTGTTACACAAGTGGCTGTAAGTTTCTAGGTTCACAGTTGGATTAATACAGTCATACAATATTGAACTCAGTATAAGCCCTGTAAGACATAAAACTGAATGAGTTCTTAACCTTTAAAAAAGATCTCCATTTCCTTTTAGAATATATTGTTCTTTGCAAAAAGACTCATTATTTTTGCTAACACTGAGATGTTGGCACATACATCTCTAATCTGTATGCATCTGATTATTACTACTCATAATCGGTTGCACTTGGATCCTTGGTGCCTGTGTATGTCTATAAAGTCATCGGGTAGATTTCAGTGGTAATGTTTATCACCTCTACCAATTAATATGACATAAATTTCCATGCTTCCTCATCAAATAGGTTTAAAAAAAATTTTTATGTGTGTGTATCACACAGAACATCCCAAACCATCTTATTCAACTATACAACCACTTCCCAGATGGCACCCTCCCATAGACTTTCTCCGCACACTAGAGTCCTTATACTATGATATCCCTGCTACTGTCTGCTGTGTTGTTGGCACCCCCACCTATTCCCCACTACCACCTATTCCCCACTACTTTTCCATCTGGTGAATCTAGTCAGCCTATCTAGAGGTTTTTGTTTTAGGAGGGTCAGCTGTTCCTCATCTAGCAGCAATCAGCTGTCAATATTCCTTTAGATAAGATTGGGGTCTGCTGTTCATTTTCCGAGGTCTATGCTGGGTTACTATCTGGGAGTCCCTTTGGACACCCTGGCCAAAAACTCAAAAGAAGGTATCTCCTATCTGGCATTGTTGCTTGTTATGTAGCCTTAAGCTATCCATATGGACTATAAAAAAAATTATATTGGCCCCTTTAATCTTTGGTTATACGTTCCTTTTGGGTGTTTAAGGCCATACAATTGGCCCAGATAAACCAATTTATTTTTACTCTTAAGGTCATTTGAGGATCTGTTCCTCAGGGGTCACATGGGCTTCAGAG